AATTTTATGATTGTTTTATATACTACAAACAATTATTTAAATTTTCTGCACAGAATAAGGTAGAAAATATACTTTATAGTTTCTGTACTGTAATAAATGATATGTCAATTAGCACTGCATCATTCATAAATTTTATTTATTTATTGTGTTAATCGTCTTAAGGTTTCACCAGTTCATTCTGCTTTTTATTCAGCTTAGCTGCAGGATTTCAAGGTTGTTGTTAATGCTGTGGTTATTTTAACAGTTTCCTTCATACATTCGGTTCAACGTCATTGTTAAAACAATTATTAAAAACGATTGTTCCTGTGGCTCAGTGGTAGAGCATTGCGTTAGCAGCGCAAAAGGTCGTGGGTTCGATTCCCAGGGAACACACATACTGGTAAAAAATTTATAGCCTGAATGCACTGTAAGTCGCTTTGGATAAAAGCGTCTGCTAAATGCATAAATTATTATTATTAATTATTAAATTAAAACATATTTATCATTCAATGGAACTATGCTTTAGACACTTACATTTTTGCTCCATCCATGTAATAAATGCGCAGCCTTCGACTGCTCAGATAATGTCGTCGGTATGACCGAGAGCCATTGAAAAACTACAGAAAAGTAAAACTACTTCACTTTAGCATTACTGGCCACGAGTACTAAGGAGAGATCACACATCAGCTGCTCAAAAAATATGTCAGTGAGACAAACTGAGCACGAGGGCAATCCTGTGAGGGTCACAGGCGGTAAATAGTGGAGCGCGTGAAGGAGAGATGCGAGGGCACGAACACTGTTCAAGGTCTCCATTAATTCGTGCTTGTAGTAATTCAATGTGTATATATTTTGAAAGCATCGAGTCGCTATAGAAATTGCGATTCATTCGATTCTTAGCATTTTAAATCGATTACTGTCCGAAATCGATGATTCACGATTCAAAAATCATGTTTCAAGATTGATGCATATGAATCGTCAGGGTTTTGTCGTGGAAATTCTAATTTAATAAAGTAATAAAATAATTGTGAAGACTGAAAATGAAAAACCAAACAGAGTTTTGTCTTTGTCTTGCTTTAATTCTCTGCAGAGAATGATCTGGTTTATACACAGCTTTTAGTCTGTGTGCAAAGAGATAACACATAGACTCACAGCCCACTTTTTATAATATGCAAAAAGATACATTGAAGGACAGATAAGACTCTAAGCCAATCATGTTACTCAGTGCACATCACCCCATAACACATGCACATCGATCCACATTACATGGTAGATGTCTGGTTACTCTCAAAACTGCCCGTCCCTGGTACACAGTTTCCCCTTAAATGTTGTTTTTCAGCCTAAAGCAGTTACGTGCACAAGTTACATAAAATAACTCCATGTCCCTATTGTCACGGCTCGGTTCAGGAAACACACTGTGTAAACAGGGGTCTGGGTCCAAATGCAGGTCTTTATTAAATGCAGGGAAAAACAAAGTAAACACCAAAACGGAAACACAAACAGATATAAGAATCTGAAAACAGGCTCAGAACACAAACAGGGATATGACACAAAATCGGCAACTTAGTGCTTGCATCAGTCCAGGTAACAACAATTAATAATCCGCCCAGAGTGGCATGGGGAAGGCGCATAAATAGCCCTCAGGATGGGCCACAGCTGTGTGTGAGTGAGTGTGTGCACAGGTGTGTGGAGTCAAGGTACCGGAGTTCAGGATGGGCAACAGCTGTGTGTGTGTGTGTAAGAGTGTGCGCACAGGTGTGTGGAGT